GAAGGATTCTGAAGATCAGCCTGCTGACTCTCCTCCTCCCTAGACAAAGACACAGGCTAGAAGGTCACTCGCAGGAAGCTGATGGTAGATAGGACTCCTTTTGGGCCACTTGTTTCTAAGAACTTTTGCTCACCTAGCCCACCTCCAGTCCGCTGCTTGTTTTGTCATCTTAACACCCTGAGAAGCAGATGGGCTCAGTGTTGATAGTGTAGCTTCAAGTTAGGGGATAGGAGAGCTGGGGACCACAAAGGAAGCTGCTGACAGAGCCAGGTTTAGAGCCCTGGCTTATGATCTGATATTTGACCATTTTGACTGTGATGGGAATTTCACTGTCATGAAATGTGTGTGGAGGAGACAGTCAGTTAGGGTCAGTCCAGGGGAGAACTATGTGGTTGAGCATGGGCAAAGCCTGTTGCCCTTCTTGACTGTCCATCTGCAGTGAGTTTTGCTTTTGGCCAGAAGGCAGTGACATCTGGAATCCGGCTCAGGTAAATCAGAAAGAGCCCTTCCCTCTTGCCTGCCTGCCTGCCTTTAGAGAAGGTGTACATTCTTCCCATTAGTCTGCCTTCCTGAGAAAGTCAGCTGCATTTGAGAATACTAACTACAAATTCTGCAGAGAAAATAAGATGAGTATCCCAGATGATGAGCAATGTTGATAGTATTACTGCCGGTTCCATCAGGTTAATAATCTGTTTCTTGGGTATTCAGAAAAATACTTCACATTCTCGTTTTAACCTTCTACTGATATATCCTATAGTTATATATTGTGCTTGTCTGTAGTCTCAAGTCCTGCTGTCACCCTGCCAAGCCGATGAAAGGCAAGAATTTAAATCATGAGAAGAGTAGGAGAATCTCCTATGTGGCTCCTTGTGTTAGCCAGCATTGTTACTGGCACAAAATGCCGGATATAGCAAGTGTATAAAGAGAGACTGTGTATTTTGGCTTAACATTTCAGAGGTTTTAGTCCACGATGGGTTCACTCCATTGCCCTTAGGCCTATGGCAAAGATGTGTGTAGAGAAAAAGCATTCTCTTAATGGTCAGGAAGGGAGAGAATGATGGAGGGGCCAGAGTTCTACTGTCCCTTTTGAGGGTGACCTCTAGTCCCCTGAGACCTCTTACTGGGCCCATCAGAAAAGGTTTCCAGCACCTCTGACAGGACTAAGCCAAGGACTTGAACCTGTAACACAGCCTGTCCTTTGGTTGGGACTCTTAGGGGTCCTAGAGCCCTTGAGTTCTTTACCCCACACTCCCATTAAAGAGAGCATGGACCCTGCCTTTGTGGGCTTTCTTTATGTCTTGGGAGCCTCCACGGTAGATTAGGCATGACTCTACATCCACATCTGAGTTTCTCCTCAGGCCACCTCAGGCCACAGCTGGCTTTCCAATGGGATTGTACTTTTCTGAGCTTTTGTAAGATGTCTTACTCTCCTGTCCCAGGCTCCTTTGCTTCTGTTTCTTTCTCTTTTCCAATGTCTCCTTAATGAACCTACTTTTTCCACACAAAATGTGTAAATTGGCATATCTGCCCAATCAATACTTGCTTCACAAATAAATTACAAAATCAGACAAGCAAAGTTGGTCTTTTGTCTCTGTTGAAAGATGGCTTCCCTCCATACCTGCTTGTCCCAGCTTCATCTGGATCAGTTCTCTGGCCACAAAGCCTGTCCTTCCAGTTCATTCCCTTTTCAGCCAGAGACAGGACAGCCACTGGACCACTTCTCCTCACAGGCAGGCAGTTACCTGGGCAGGGATACGTGAGGACTGACCTCTCTTTCCTGTTTTGTCAGAGCATGAAGGGCCACCCGCCCCCAACACCCCTTTTTGGAGATGATGACGATGACGATGACATTGATTGGCTGGGGTGAAGACCTAGGAAACAGGCACACAGGTTTCTCTCCCAGCCCTTTCGTAAGCATGATTTTGCACAGCTGGCCTCAGGTCTAGGTGAGTCTCAAGGTGAGGTCCTGGTGGACATTCTGAGGACAGTGGTTCAGACATCTGAGATAGCTGCCCTCTGAGCCCTGCCTGACCTGGTGAAGAGGATCATGAGTCTGCAGAACTCATTGAGTGGCCCTACCTTGGAGGAAGGGCTGGGAAGGTCACCTGCAGCCAGTCACAAGCATCCTGCCATTTCTCCCAAGCCTTTTCTTTTTATTCATTCTCAAGTTGACCTGTGAAGCCCTCCTGCTCTCCCAGTGCTCACCAGAGCTGCAGCAACAGGTCCTGTAGCCTGGGGAGGGGTCTCCAAGGAGAACTGAGAAATCATGCTGGCCTAGCCTGTAGCTCTGGAACATGTATCTTCTATCTCTGCCTTAAATTTTATAAAAGAGGTCAATAAGTATTTGGAATTAACAAGACTAAAATAAATGCCTACAATAAAACTTGACTTGGACCCTTGAAGAGAAACTGAGTTTGGTTTCCAGGACAGTTATGCTCCTTCTTGGGATCATAAGGATGGGAGTTGTAACTTGGTCAGTTATGTGCACAAAAGCACTGTGATGTATTGGTTGGCACCTGACCTTGACCTTGAAGCCTTTCAGAGTCACACACTACAGTTGCAGGTCACCACAGCTGCGTAAGGCTCAGGGCATCATAGTTATTGGAGAACCAGTCCTACCATGTACTGGTTTCTGTGTTCTACACTGCAGGCCAACGAGCCATGCAGAGAAGGGAAGCGGGGCTCTGTAATATCCACTGTTCATGATATCTGGGGGATTCTTCCATTGCCCATGAGCCTCTGGCCAACACTACTGCAAAGAAGAGCAGTGAGAAAACATAAGTGGCTTTTTACTTATTCTAGGATCTTCCAAAGACTATGCAGGCAGCTTTCAAAAGGAATAATTTTAACAAAATGCTCCATGATTTAATGTTTGCAAGACTGCATCCTGAATTCCACTGCATCTGTCCATTGCCCCTGCAGGGTTTTTGCCTGTCTCCCACATTTGCGTCTAGGAAGCTTCGAGAAAGACTATAAAACAGTTACTTAAACAAGTTACTTCAAACTCTAAGCCTCAGTTTTCTGTAAATGTGGATAACAGTGTCTTCTGTGGTGGCTGATAGCAGTGAGAGTCTGTACAGTGCCAGTCACTGAAGAAGACATGGTTATCCCCATTGTTAAGAAGATTCGTTCTTATTTGGTGTGTATGGGTGTTTAGCCGGCATGTGTCTGTGTACCATGTGTATGCAGAGGCCAGAGAGCAGCAGAGCCTCTGGAACTGGGCATCCCAGACAGCTATGAGCTTATGGTGCTGAGAGCCAAACCCAGGTCCTCTACAAGAAAAGCTTAGCCATTGATCCTGTTTTTCCCATGCTTAGAGGAGCAGAGTAGGACAAGAGTTCTGGTCCTGTCCAGCTGATCAAGAGCTGGGCTCTTGTCCACTGTCCTTGGGGAGAAGAAAGAAGCTGCTTGTTAGGAATACAGGTCCCAGGGCTGTGTATCTCAGTGGCAGAGCAATTGCCTAGTATGTACAAGCTGTAGACTTGACTCTAGTACTAAAGAAAAGAGAAAAATTCAGGCTCCTGGCCCCATCAAAATCTGAGAATTTCCAGCTATTGTGGAAACAAAAAACATAGACTCATTATCTCCAGTCTCTGTTCACTTCTGTATACCACAGGCACTATGTGACCTGTGCCCCTCATCTGAGTTGATGAGGAAACAGTGACTCCTAGCTCTGTTGCTCATTAACAGGTGACGGTCTCCTACCTCAGCTTCCTCATCTCTGAGATGAAGGCAGGGTTCCTGTGTGGTAGTGAGGACTGAATAATAATTGCATAAAGGGCTAGAGCTATCCAGCACTTATGCAGTTATTTTTTTGTTTTTGTTTTTTTGAGACAGGGTTTCTCTGTGGCTTTGGAGGCTGTCTGTCCTTGAACTCACTCTTGTAGACCAGGCTGGTCTCGAACTCACAGAGATCCACCTGCCTCTGTCTCCTGAGTGCTGGAATTAAAGGTGTGTGCCACCACCTGTAAAGAGAAGTTTTTTCCTTGTGAGAAGCCTTCCCGCCAGCCTGGTTCCAGAGCCGCATCAGTCCCAAATAAACACATAGGAGGCTATATTAATTATGAAGCTGTTGGTCTTGCTTGTTTCTTACTGGCTAGCTCTGACTTAAGTAATTACCCCATAATTGTTAATCTAAGTATGTGTCTTACCGGAGAAGTTACCGGACTTCCTACCCCATGGCGTTACATCTCTACTCTCTTGTGTTTCTCCTTCCCAGAGTCCTCCTGGACTCCTAGTCCCACCTATCTAGATTCCTATTGGCCCAACAGTGCTTTATTGACATAAGACTTCCCCAACAACCACCGCCCGCCAGGTATTTGTTTTTTAAGAAAATTAAGTAGGGAAAAGTACCACCTTTTGTGACTTGGCTCTGAAGAATGCTAAAATGAGGACATATGTTACCAAAGTCTAACCATATATTCACTCTATAGACCATAGGCAAAAAACTTTCTAAAAACCACTACTCCACAAAAGCCTCAAATATCACGACTGTAATAAAACCGTATCAAGTTGAGGAACCTGCGCCAGTTACTCATGTGTCTGTCCCAGCAGTGCCCTGGGAGCTGAAACGGGTCAGGGCTTGGCATAGGTGTCACAACTCCATCGAGACCGCAGACTGCACTGTGAACAGAGGGAATGCAACAAGCAAGCCCACAGGTGCCCTGCCTCTACTATACTTTCTGTGACTCTTGCTTCAAACGGCGAGATGGCCATGGTGTTGCTTCTGCCCCCAGGAAGGAAGGTGCTAACTGTCCTGCCAACATGGGTGTAACAGCTACTCTTCTTACAGCAGATATCTGTTACACAAACCTACCACACTAAGCTGATACTGTGGTGTCTACCAACAGGCACACTTACAGATGGAGTTTCTCTGCACACAGAGTGGCCTTTAACACATGCAATTTAGCCATTGGTCTCAAGTATCTCCTCAGCCTCTGCAGTGGTAACATGTAAGAGTTGTGTACTGCTCGAAAGAGAGAAACAGACCAACAACCACAAACTGTTCAAAAATAGAAATTTATTAAAGTGTTATTTGTTTTTAATTCCCAAAGCTTAAAATCATCTTTCAGGAGTACTTGAACATAGACACTACATAGTATATAGCAGTGACTGCCGTGTGTGTGTGTGTGTGTGTGTGTGTGTGTGTGTGTGTGTGTGTGTGTGTTTTACTGTGCATCCCAGGCTTGCCTGGAACTCCGTATGTAGCCCAGGCTGCCCTCAAACCCACAATCTCCAGGCTCAGTCTCCTGAGTACTGTGGATTACAGGTATATGTCCCCATTCTTGTGTCTTAACTTTTATTTGTAAAACGAAAAGGCTCAAATACCAGGAGTCCAGTTAACTCTTAGCATGACTTGACTTTGGTTTGACTTCTTATTGCACCCCCAGCCACCCCTGCTGAATCAGTGCTTCAGTGACTGACTCACGGCTCCCTATCAGGTCATTAGGAGTTAGCAGCAAGTAAGAAATAAGGGGCAGTCAGCTTTGTTATGATGCAAACAAGAGGATCCGGTAAAGCCCTGGTCACAAGACTCAGCTGCTACAGGCAGTGCTGTCAAATGAAAGGGCATCGACACAGTAGACATGTCTGCAGCCTTGCTGACAAGCCCGGCTCCCTGCCTCTAGTCAGTGCTGGTCTTCCCTAGGTAGGGAGACGGGTTTCAACAGACACCATCATGAACGCAGTGAGCTCATTAGAAAATTGGTTTTGTATGAATGTGCAAAATCGCCAACCAGGAGTTCAAGGTAAAAAAAGTGGTTTGTCAGTGGCAGTCTTTATGTGTTCTAAGGCAAAAAGGTGAGAAGGAGCTGGCATGGTCCATCCTCCAAGACTGGAGATGCTCCTAGCATTAAGGCACAAAGCAAAAAAGGTATCCAGGTTCCATGACCTTCCTCACTGAAGCTCTTTGGAAATTTTTAATTTGCAGTCTGAGGTGTATGGTCACCGGCCTGGCTACCCTAACTCCAGGTTTCAGTCTCCATATTCCCTTTGGTCACAGCCACTTGTTTAAGGCACCACAGGAGGCCTGGACCCTATGTAAGCCAGGCTGGGAAAGGAGGTAGCTCCACTGTCCTCCAAGCTCCAGGGACAATTTGCTGGCTTCAGCTCAAAGCTGCCAGGAACTGGGAAAGAGGTGAGCAATGGCCGTCATAGGAAGCCGCAGCTGGAAGTACAGTGTCTGGAGCAGAGGCCGCCCTCCAGCCCTGAGCACCTGCACATCTCTGGCTCACTATGTCATGTTGAGAAGTGGGTAGGCCAGGTAGTAGCCCACAGCTGAACCCAAGACCACACCGAGGAAAATCCAGGTGTTGTAGGACATAACAGCCAGCATCACGAAGTATCCAGTGACCACCTGGGTGACATGGACTAGGGCCTGGCCGAAGTAAAACAAAAACCACCTAGGCACAAGAGAAACAAGCTAGTTAAACGGTGATGAGCAGGTGTGTTTTACTAGGACAGAAAGCCTGAGTTCCAGCATAACGTGTTTTACCTAGTAGAGATTTCTCTCCAAAGGGACATTCCCACCACGTTTAGCTCTGAGCTTCCTGCCATCCTAGGCAAATGGGGCTTATGTAGTCAATTTTGTCTGACAGGGATCAGAAGAGAGCATTGGGAAGCCAGTCTCTCTGAATTGAATGTGGGAGGTGGAGAAGCCATGAAAAGAGAGGGACTTGTTTCCTATTAAATCTCTGAACTTTTTGAGTGCTGGTTTTCTATCAGTAAAACACTGGGTGGTGATGAGGGTGAGAGACGGCCAGGTAAGGTGGCTGGTGACATAAAAGGTGGCTGGTGACATAAAAGGCAGGCTCATTAAGCGTAGGTGAGGTTGCAGAGAAGGCAGACTGGGGCCTGTAAAGCCTGATCAGAGAGGGACTCGAGCACAGAAAGGACGCCTCCCTCTCCCATCAAGTGGGATACTACCTGCAGACCTCTGTGTTTGGGAGCCTGGTGAGAAAGGCTGATAGGCCTGCGGCACAGATTTGAAGTTCCCTGAGAAACCCTTGGGATCCTAAGAGGCTGCTTGATAGGTAGCTCCAGACATCATAGACCCAGGCTCTAATTCATCTTACTAAATACTTCTTGGGATGCAAATTATCTTTCTGTTCATGGGGCTAAACTTCTCTGAACCCAACCACCTGTCAGGTGTAAGAGTGAATGCTCTGGCCATCCTTCCACCCATGGTTTGTACCTGAGGTGGGTACCATTGGCTGGAGTTGATCCGGAGCCTGTAGAATCCTGGTCTGATTCCAGGATGAGCTGCTGGCTGGTGGTATTAGGCAGGTTCTCCAGAGTCTTGTGGAGCAACTTGACTTTGCCAACCTTGATGCCTTCATATAATACAGCCAGGAGCAGGACGACCAGCACTGAGAGGGCCATGCCTGTGAAGAGGCCAAGTGGAAAACTAGATTTTGGCAGATAATGTTAGTGTGTCACATTACAAAAAAGGTAGGAGAGGATTCTACATGTTTTCATCATGAACAAATGATAAAAGTTTGGAGACAGGTGGGCTGGCCCTGACTGAATGCTACACAACCTACGCGTGTACTGAAACATCTCAGAGTGCCACATAAGATGGACAGTTGCCAATTAGAAAGAAGGCGGTCAGGTGTGGTGATGTACATTAAAAGGCAAAGGCAGACAGATTTATGGGGAGGAGGAGGGAAGAAGGAAGAGGAGGAGATGGCAGCGGCAGCTACCTCTGCTGTACTCCCAGCACTGGGAAAGCAAACAGCCAGATCCCTGGGCTTGCTGGCCGGCTCAGCTTAGCTTACTGGGCAGGTTCCAAGCCAGTGAGAAAATCATGTCTCAAAAACAAGGAGGATGTCATCTGATGCACGCACACATACACATCCACTTCCACATATAAGTATGAACGCATATAAATAAAAAAGCAAGATGGATGCTGGACACAGGTCTGTATGTAACTGCAGGTACTCTGATGGATGAGGGAGATAGACTAGATTCCAGGCCAACCTAAACAACTTAGTGAGAACATATCTCAAAAAGTAAAAAGGCCCAGAGACAGGATGCTTGCCTAGCACAGGTGAGGCCCAAGGTTTGATCCCTAGTGCCCCAGAACAAGCAAGCCAAGGTATAGAGCTCCCTGCAAAGCACCTCCCCCAGACACCCCAGGAGACTACCCCAGGAGGCAGGACTCTCCACTCACTCTGAATCTGGAGTCAGCCACCGGTGTCTTCCTCCTCACCAGCATTAAGCTCAGACCTTCACCCTCTCCTGCCTCTCTAGACATTTCTTTGTAGTTCTGACACATTGCAGTGTGGCTTCTCACTCTGGCAGAGCCAGGGGTGGGGTGAAGAAGCCACACAGCACCATCCCCGTTAGCCCCCATATTCTGTACACGTCTCTGTCAAGACTCCTTGCCATGGAGTGGTGTACACCTGGAAGCACACATTTTTCACATGTAGGTTTACCAGAAACCTTGGGACAGGGTACAGAAGGAGAGCAACAACAAGTTAGAATACAGTGGGTATTTACTTTCTTCTTGCCTAACTTTTGTAAATACTGTCCATGAGTATTTTGTGTATTACATTTATAGAGGAAAATCCAATAAGTTAAAGAGAATAGTAAGTACTTACTAGTGCTTCTGGGCAAAATGAACCCTGGTGTTTGACAATGGATTATAAATGGCCCATCCAGAGTGTTTTATGAGCTTTATGACAGGAACATATCTGGAACTGGGAATGGTAGTACATGCCTGTGATCTCAGCCCTGAGGAAGCTGAGGTAGGTGGATTGTGAGTTTATAGCCAGCTTTGGCTATATACTAGGAAACCTTGTATCCAATAAGTACTTGCTAGTAGAGGCTTATATGTGCCAGTGACTTGTGGCTGGAGTCCCTAAGTAGCTGACCTCAGGATAGAGGGGAACCAACATTGGATAAGAAGATGGGAACACTCAGCCTTACCCCTAGGTTCCGGGGAACAGACAGGCTGCAGGCTGAGTTGATCACCAGTGAGTTGTTCCAGCAAATATTGATGCTGCTTAGGCAGGGGCAGGGAGAGGGGAGGGGTCATAGCCTTGGCTTTACAGCTCACTGGTCAGAAGTACAGGCATTAGCATGGGAGGCAGTCCAAGAGGGACTGTGCTCTTGATCTATGGGGTGTGCACCAGCTCTAGTGTCAGAGTTAAACTCAACTGTTGGATACTCAGCTGCTGCAGGAAAGATGGTTGGTGTGGAAGAACTACACATCTGACCATGGGAGTCTTGAGTGCAAGAAAAGGAAAAACCATAGGCTGTTTTCACCTTCACAAAGGCGAAAACACCATTTTCTTTTTTCTTTAAATAGCCTGAAAGACCCCCCCACACTCATGTAAACCACGCCCCTCCTAAGAGCGCGAAATTCAAAAGCTGTGACCTCACCAAGACAAGTACCCTATCAGCTGTGCTCTCGCCTTCTACCTCATTTGCTTATCAAGCCTGCTGGACCTGACTGAGAGCCACTCTTGCAAGGTCCGCAGGACGCAGGACTTCATATGCAAATAAAGCCCGCTTCTACCTCCCCAAACCCCATATAAGCTGTACTAAATCCAGCCCGGTATGCTCAGCCTCCCGAAGTGCTGCAGCATCCGCAGGCGCCTGTGTGAGCAATAAAGAACCCTCTTGCTGTTGCATCCAGTGGCTCTGTCTCGATTTTTGGGCAAGGGTCTCCTGCCGGGAAGATTCCCTTCGGGGGTCTTTCAAGGCAACCACAGGCAATTCTATGCTTGTGGTAAAAGTTTAATCATGGAGAAGAAGCACACAAAACAGTGAGTCTTCCCAGACTCCCAGAACCCAGCCCCTCTCCAGCAGCCTCTGCTGCTCCATGGCTGTACCAGCTCTCACTGTCTAAATGATGGCACTCTGTCCTAATACTTACCTGCATCCATCATCCAACTCCTTTCTGCTCATACACATCTACCTTAGCTTTCCAGGCTACCCTCTAGTCTTTGTGGCAGAGAGTACCTTCTGAAGATGCTCACTCCCATATATCGTACCCACACCCTCCTTCCAACAGGAGACGAGAGCCATGTTCACTCCCTTTTAGCCTGGAAGGGTCAAAGGATCCATCAATAGGTGAAGATAATGCTATGTAACTTCCAAGTGTGGGTTTTATTCTTGTATGTGTACGTGAATATGTGTATATGCCCATGCACGTGTGTATGGGCGCACGTGTGTGGAGAGGTCAGGGGTCAACATTAGGTATCTTCTTTTATTGTTCTCTACATTATTCTTTTTGAGACAGAGTCTCTTGCTGAAGCTAAAGATAGGCTGGCTGGCTAGCAAGCCCAGGGATCAGGGATTACAGGTGCATGCTGCCATGCCTGTCTTTTACAAGGGTGCTGGGAATCAAAGTAAGCTCTTCATGATATCTCAGCAAGGACTTTAGCAACTGAGCCTTCTCACCAGCTCCTAGGGCAGGTTTTTAGACCCTCATACACTTCACCCATGTTCTTTTAGGATACTAGCTCTTAAAACCTAGCCATTCTGCCATGAGGAAGCCCCGGCTACAGGAGGCGCCACTGTGAGGTTCAGACAAGAGACCCAGCTGAGGCTGCGGTTCACAACCAGTACAAGACACTAACACTCCTCAGAAAGAGCGTCCAGCCACGGCCTGCCTCCACTGCATGGGAGGCCCTGAGTGCAGGCCACTTAGTTAGCATAGTCAACCCACAGAATCTTGGGAAGATACTAACAAAATGGTGTTCTACTCCACTGCTTAGTCTGCAGGGGGTAGCTGGACAATGGCCATCTGTTGTAGGGAAAGGCACATCTGCCATGACAGGCATCTGGCCTATGTCTAGCCTGCTTTAGAATGATAAATGCACAGTTCTAGCTCAATGTGCCTTAACTGCCCACAGAAAATAAAGAGAACCCAGGTTCTCCACTGCCCAGCACTATGGGGCTTGCCAAACGACAAGTGACCTTCCCCGTTCTTACCTGTAGGACTGTGGACTCTCCAGAAATCAAACAGAAGCACAGCCTCATCTGAGAAGATGAAATGCATCTGAAAGAGATGAGATCTGCATCAGGAGGCTTGCGCACAGAGGTCCTGCTTCCTGATGCTCTCTAGAGCTGCCTTGGGAGAACTCCTGGGGCTACAGGACTTACATGATAGAAGGGCTATTAGAAGCCATATGGAGGAGGAGGGGCTTGCTCAGGTGGGTCAATGGCACTGATAACTGAGCCCTGTCCACATAGCAGTGAAGATGGGGAAAGCCTAACCTCACAAGGCCAACCAGACTTGGGATAACACATGGAGATGTCCTCTCTGGGTCCTCCAAACTCAGGAGGAATCCCAATACACTGGCTCAGCCTTTTTGCTCAGCTCTGGAACAACCTCCCCAGAGCCAGCAGGGAGTCCTCTTTTCTAGTGAACCTGGACAGATGCCACATAGTTTGTCATGCAAGGCTAAGGACAGATGTCTCCCATCTGTATACTACACACATCTACTCATTCACTAGACTCTTTCTGACCCGTCCGTGGCCAGCACTGAAAAGGAAAGGGGGAGGGTGGAGCACTTGCCTCAAATATGTGAGGCCCCAGTACCATTAACGTCATAAAGAAGAAGCACTGAGCGGGGCGTTGGTGGCGCACGCCTTTAATCCCAGCACTCGGGAGGCAGAGGCAGGTGGATCTCTGTGAGTTCGAGACCAGCCTGGTCTACAAAGTGAGTTCCAGGACAGCCTCCAAAGCCACAGAGAAACCCTGTCTCGAAAAACCAAAAAAAAAAAAAAAAAAAAAGAAGAAGCACTGATTCATTCCAACTCCAGCCCTCTGAGCCCCACCTCATCTGTGAGTGGGAAAGGGGAGGCCTGAGGTGGAAAGGGATTCGCCTTGGGTGGGCTTCGTGAGAACCCTAGTAGTACTCAATGAGTGTTCTGGGGAGGAAAACCTGGAGAAAGAGGGTGTTCTCAGAAAGGCTGTGGGAGTTTGGACTGAGACATGCCTCAGTGGGTACATGAAGACAGGAAAATCAGGTTAGCTGTCACTTTGTCTGAAAGCTATGCCATTGGGCATTCTCTGGCCACTTGAACATCAGAGCCACAAACCTGTTTGTAGGTAACAGCCCTAAATTACAGATCATACGCATCTACCTCTTCCTTCTCCCCACTTCTCAAAATTGAGCATCCAAGGAGATAAAAAAGACCAGCAGGATGAAGGTGGCCATGGGAGTTCACAGCTATAATCCCCGCAGTTGGAAGGCTGAAGCACCCGCACTGTTGTGAATTCCAGGCCATTTGGTTACATAATAAGTTCTAGAATATGGTGGCTTAAAGAAGAACGGCTCACAAAGGCTCAGATATTTGAATGTTTAGTCATCAGAGAGTAACACTACTTGAGAAGGATTGGGAGGCATGGCCTTGTTTGAGTACGCATTGCCTTATTGGAGGAAGTGTGTCACTGGGGGTGGGCTTTGAGGTTTCAAAAGCCCTTATCAGGTCCCGAGTGTCTCTCTCCCTGCTGACCAATCAGGATGTTGGTCTCAGCTACTGCTCTGTGCTGTGCTCCCTGCCATCATGATGATGATGATTAATTCTCTGAAAAACTGTAAGCAAGCCTCAAATTAAATGCTTTCTTTTATAAGAGTTGCCCTGGTCATGGTGTCTTTTCACAGCAGTAGAACAGTGACCAAGACACAGGCCAACCTGGAGTAAGGTGAGTTATCATCTCAAAAAAAAAAAAAAAAAAAGATAATAGATTGGGAGCAAACCAGATCTGTCAATCAAGGGCTTTCTGGAGCCTCAGCATCACCCCAGGGAAGTTGAGAGACGACAGTGTGAGGATGACAGCCAATGGGCCCTCTTTCCCAAATCTGTCAAGACTAAAGGAATATTTCTCAAAAGTGTTCCGTGAGAACCACGGGCTGTTAAGACATACTCTGAGAGATGACTCTGTAATCAAGTCTGGGATTGGGCAAAACAAAACTTAGCAGTTCTCTTTCCTGCCTGAAGGCAGGTCCTGAACCCTGCCTGCTTTCCCTTCCTTCTCTTGCTGGGCAGAATATAACTTGGGAGATTGTTACTTTCCGTGTATCTGTTGGCATGTGGGCCCTTTTGCTCAAGCAGACTGGTTTCAGAATCTGCTTTCAACACAACTTCTAAGGAAGCCCAAGAGGAAGTTAAGGCATGCCTAGGGTTACACTGTGAGATGGCAGCAGCAGCAGCAGGAGTGGAACCCATATATTTGTATCTCACCCTCATTTGAAGTAAACACGCACTCATTTGTGGAGGAAAACCCACGGGGATGCCTCTTGTTTTCTGTGTATACCAGATCCATTGGCCTCCCAAGTGTTTTGATTAAAGGCAAAAATATTTTTAAGTATGTGTCTAGGTGTGTGTCTGTGTGTGGGCTTTTGCATGAGTGCAGCTCCCATAAAGGCCAGAAGAGGGCACCAGATTCCCCCTGGAGCTAGAGTTACAGGCGGTTGTGAGCTACTTAAGGATGACATGGGTTCTGGGATCCAAACTGGATTCTCTGCAAAAGCAGAACATGATTTTAACTGCTGAACCATTTGTCCAGTCCATATCTTCTTGTTTTAGTCAGGGCTTTGTGTAGCCCAGGATGGCCTTGAACTTGAGAATGATTCTGAACTTCTTATCCCCCTAATTCCACTTTCTGAGTACTGGGAGCAGAAGAACACCCCACCACACTTAGTTTCTGTGGCACTGGAAATCCAGTCTGTGACTCTGTGTGCTAGACAAGCACTCGCCCAACTGAGTCTCTGAATGTTACTTTTAACAATTCCAAAAAAGGAGCTGGGCGTTGGTGGCGCACGCCTTTAATCCCAGCACTCGGGAGGCAGAGGCAGCCTCTGTGAGTTTGAAGTCAGCCTGGTCTACAGAGCAAGTCCAGGACAGGCTCCAAAGCTACAGAAAAATCAACCAACTAACCAAACAAACAAAACAAAAACAACTCCCTCACAAAAATAACAGCAACAAAGCATTCCAAAAAAAGATATAAGATAGCAGAGGCAAAATAACATTGGGAGAAAGGAAGGGAGAAGCTGGGCAGGGAGAAAATTAGGAGAAAAGACCTCCATGCAGCCACAATGGAGCAAACCAGACGATGGCCTGTGAGGACAGGGAAGAGAAGCCAGTGTTTTCGCACTACAGCTGAAAACCAGGATGCCACACGACTGGGAAGACGTTAGGAGGAAGGGTGCTGGAGCGGAACACAGGCTGCACAATCCTGGTTCCACAAACACAGGTGAACCCGAGTGCAGAGATTGCCAGCAAGTCCCACACTGCCCAAGTAGATCACGCTCCCGTAAGACTCCAGAGCTTTCCTGAAAAACGCAGGTGCCTGGCCTCCTTATTCCTGTCAATCAGAACCCAGGGCAAGGGCCAGATGATCTTAATGAGACCCATTTGAGGACAGGGCTCTGATGCTCACTTGGTGTGGTACATTTTGGGCAGACGAGGAAGCCTAGTGGACAGAGCATGGACTCTGAAGCTGGACATCCTGTGTCTCCTTCCTGCTGTTGCTAGGACCTTGAGCAAGCCACACAGCAAACACCTCCTGGAGTTCAGTCCCCCGCTGTAAAATGAGGACTGAGCCCCAGGAAGACTTTTCCCTGGTTTGGCTTCACTTCCTTAGATCCCAGTGAACTTGGTGCAGACAGGCTCCCACGTGAGCTTTACTCCTGCACTGAAACACAATAAAGGACAAGAGGAGTCCACAACGATCTTGTGTCTGTTTGTGAATGGAGAGGGACGCTTCATCCACGAGTGTTCATCCCCCGTGTGCAGACCTGTCCCCTGTAGACAAGACCTGGGGACGGGGATGACTGTCCACTCGGCACACATACCTTCTGGACTTTCAGAAGACCCAGAGAAGAGTAAACTCACCTGACTGAATAGCACCACCCTGCAGCCCTTTGTCTTCCGAGGGCCTGCACTGCGTTCACTGCCTGCCCTGTGTCTCCCCCAACCCAACATTTCTGCTATTGTTTAAAGGCCCATGCGTTCAGAGTCATAGAACTTTCTAGAAAGCATGAGCTACTCTTCAAATTGCGCATGTCTGATAAGCACTCTGGGTATTTCTGGGGCAAGTATCTGTAGGGGTATGGCTGCAGACATAGTCTGAACCACCATGCTCCCTGCCTACCAGCTGGAGCTGGCCAGGTAAATTACCTAATGGCTTCAGTATGGAAAATAAGTAGTCACTTCAAAGTCATGTTGAATAATGGGCACTTTATCTTCCTAATGTGAAAGTGGTAGTTGGCAAACATAAAAAGCCACAACAGTACCAAATAGGAAAATCATTTTGAGTTCCACCACCCTGAGACATCTTGTTAGAATTCACAGTGAATAGTTGGTGACCTGGGAAATGCACGACGAAGCAAGCAACAGGGCAAAATCCCACGTATCCTGAGGCTGCCTCCATCAGACTGCTGGAGGGGCCTCTGGAGCCTTCCCTGCCAGGTGGGGACCGTGCCCACCACTCCTTCACCCAGTCTGACTAGGTAAGCAGTACGCAAGAATGGAATGTCTCCAGTAGCTAATTTAGTCACCCTGGGAGTTTCCACAACTCATTTTATTCTATCATCCTTGGGTCCAGGCCAACTATCTCAGGAGCAAAACAACAGCCAACACCTTTTGCCGCCCATGGAAAGCCTTACAGACAGTCGACTTCCTCAACAGTATCTCCTTTTCGTGTGCTAGGAATGTGCAGACCCCAGGGAGCCGATGTATGAGACAAGGCTGGCAGCCTCAGAACTGTTTAGCAGGGAAATGGGAGGCACAATAGATAATTTAAACAGAGAGACTGCAGACAAAAGCAGAAAGGCAGGGTGACCTGGGCAGGGGACACAGCCACCTGTGGGAGGAGAGGCAAGTGGCTGGGACCTTGGGGAGCACGAGGCAGCTGGGAGGCCAGACTGCCGGGTGTCCCCAACTAGCAGTGCCCAGAGGGAACGATTCCACTTCCCACCCAAGTTCAAAACCCGTGGTGCCCCTGCCTTCCACTCTTTCTGTCTTTTGGATTAAAATAAAACAAAACAAAACAAAAAGGATCCAAAATCAGCACGCGCAGACTTACTGAAGGGACTGCAGCTTTCAGCTGGCAGGTCCTATGTTGAGCTACGACGAAAGGCAGGACCCAGCGTTCCCACTGGGGAAAATCTGTGTCTCCAGCAGGCAGTTTATCTGTGCTTTATGAAGGGCGGACCTCACAGAGAAGGGACGGGGGCCAAAGACGGAGCCATTCACAGGACTCGCTTTCTTTTTTCTCAAATAGGTGCTAAATTTAAAGAAATGTGCCTGCGTTTTTTAACCAGACACTCCAGAAAGGGACGAAAGGCGGCGTGCTGCCGCTGACCACCCAGGCACCTTTATCAAGGGTTACAGGAGGCGGGGAGCCTCTGCATCAGACGGCCTGTGTGGGCTTCCTGTCTTAGATCCCGAGGCAGGCTTCGTGAGACGAGGGAACTGGTAGGATCTCCTCAAAGAGCAATCTTGCCAGCTGTCATTCTCCATCCGGGGAAACGCTGCTTTCAGATTCCGGGGGTACGAAGGATGGGGAAGTGAGGGCCCTGCCCGGGACAGGCCGAGCCGGGGTGCGGGCTTGCCCTCGCAGGAACCCTTTCCCGGGAGGGGACCGCAGTCCTCACCCCGCACCCGCCTGTAGAGTCCCGCGGGCCGGCCAGACTAGTGACTGACCCCCGGCGGGCAGGGACAGACAAACTCCAGGGCTTCAGCCGGCCTCCCGCCGCGCCCCCAGCCCCGCTCCTGCTGCGCCGGCGTCGCCACACGCCCCCACCGCTCCGTCGCCCCCTCCGCGCCCTCCGCCGCGCAGCCGAGCACTCACCGCCATGGTGCGCGTACGGGGCGGCCGCCGGGCTCGCGTCCGTCCGTCCGTCCACTCGCGGTCCCGCACTGCGCTCCGCAGGACCGCGGCTGCCACCGCGCCCAGGTCGCGCGGATCACGTGGCCCGGGAGAGGCGGCGCGCGGGCGCCTGGGAGTTGTGGTTCTCACTTGCTCCCCGACCCGCCCCAGGCCACGTCCCTCCACCCGCGGAGGACCCACGCGCCCACCCGGGTCCTGGCTGCTCTGACGCAGGGTCGCCGCCATCCCTAGCAAGCCCGGCCGCCTGCTACTGACTCTGCCTTGGCAATTATCATAAAAAGATGTTCATTGTTTTTTCCTTTTGATCGGACACCTAGCGAAGCTTAACATATGTTGACTGGAAAATTAAAATGTTCATCCCGGGAACACAATAGCAGCAAATTAGGAGTACATTAAGTCAATTACGCCTCCGACTTAACTGTTGCCACTTTATCTTCTCCGATCTGATAAGCAGACAGCCGTGCACAGTTGTAATTTTCTTTCTTGTGTGCATGCTCACTAAGATTGTGTTTCTGTATTGCACATTTTTTCATCTTCCTTGTAGGTAATACAAAATCTTAGTTCATTTGGGCTTCATTAACAGACTCTCATAGATCGAGGGCTCGTAAGCCAGAGACGTTCCCACAGTTTCCAGTCCAAGATAGGGTGCAGATTCCGTGTTTCTCCAGGGCTACTTTATGCTTGTAGATCACTCTCTTCTCATTCTCCCCTCACAATCCTAACTTGTATTTGTCTTATTACTAGGTTAATAAACCTTTTCTCTTATTAGTATTTCCATTTTCATCTCATTGACCTAGTTTTATTAGGGATGCGTATCAAACTTTTAAGACTATTTAAAACTTTCTTTTCCAAACATCAACAATCTTTTATATAAGTTCTTAAATACGCTTGGAAATCCTTTGCTGACCAATCTGCCCACACATTCTCCTCCAAGAATACTGACCAAGGGTTAGCTGAGATCTTGAGACTGAAGCCTGCCCTCTCAGCTCAAACCCTGAGTTCTGGAGTATTTATTAGCCATGAGGCCTCAGACAAACAGCTTGGCATATGAGGCTCAGCTTCCTGATAAGATTAAATAATAATGATAATTGAATCTATGTCATAGAGGTGTTGAAAGGCCTCAATGAAAACATGTGTTGAATTCTCAGCATTAAACCTGGCAGTGGAAACTTGCTTGATAAGTGGAAGCCATTGTCATCATCAACAACAAATATTTCCACCCATAGGAGAAAGCCATCTGTAAAAGGTGAAGCCATTGCTCAGGGTCACACAGCTTCTGGCCAAAGTTAAGGAGGGTTGTACAGCCTCAAGGAAAGCATACCTACAAGATACATGAGGGAGATCTGAGCAGGGGTGGGAGTCGGGGTCATTTTTTAACCCCTCTGCACCTAGCCACAGAAGCAGGCAAAGGAGGTTCTTGTGCCAAAACATGCCCCTCCCCCTCATTGCCCAGGAAAAGATTAGCAACATAGCCTCATTCATTGGACAGTTTTCATTGGCTTTGTCACAATCTGATGACCTTCATGCTTAGTCCTAGCTCTCCTGAGGTGTTATGACTACAGCATTTAACCCTGTGTCCTACCGGGCTGGTTTGTTTTGAGCCACCAGAGGCTGCCCCTTCTCTGGCTCCGGGGAAAAGAACTTGACTCAGACATAGAATCCCAGACTTTAGGATTACAGCAGAGCTGCCCCCACCTCTGTCTATGTCAGGATTCCTCCCAGGTTCTTTTTGGGCAGTCTGAACTCACTTCTCCCTATCTCTACGGCCCACACCTGGAGCCTGAGACAAAACCCTTGGCAGGAAATGTGACAGTACCCAAAGAGCAGCAAAGGGCCCTGCAGCTGGGCACTGAGCTTGTCCAGAATCAGCTAGCAGTGGGGAAATCTGACTGGTCAATCTCTGCTCAGAGAAGGCTCACACGTACACATGCTACTGCAGCTGGGCACTGAGCTTGTCCAGAGTCAGCTAGCAGTGGGGAAATCTGACTGGTCATTCTCTGCTCACAGAAAGCTCACACGTACACATGTTACTGCAGGTGGGCATTGGCTTTCCTGGGGATCCACATGATAGAGTCCCAGTGACAGGCCAAAACATGACGGCAACCAAGCCCAACTTGATGAACCAGTGAGTTTAACTGGGCTTACTTACAGAAGCATGGGTTAGTAGTTAAATACAAGAGCACGAGCTACTTACAGGCAGCTGCATCACTGAGGAACAGTCTCTGCACCCCTCCAATAGTTAGCCACATATGTCCTTAGTGAGGAGTGGAATTCCTTGTGTCATCTCATGACCTCCTCCTCAAGAGGGAGTGAGCCCTCCCTCCCCCTCAGGAGGGATCGTTAGGGAATTCCAATAGGGTGAAGGTCTCTTATGATTTACCACAACTTCTCTGATTTCCAGATAATAACGGCCGTGGCATGCCCAGAGCACAGCAATGGCCAGCAGCTCAGTGTATGTATATGTGGACTTGAAATCCTCCTGTGATTGCTAGGATTAGAGGCACATACCACTGACACCCAGCAGAAACTTTTGTTCCTTTGATTGTCTTTCTTGCTGTGTGTGTGGGGGGGGCAGGAATAAGTGTCACAGTGTTCTTGCAGAGAGCAGAGGACAAATGCTTTGTTTCCATTTTGTTTGAGGCAGGGTCTCTGTCGTTCACTCTGCTTTCTTGCTCCTGAGCATGACCCTGCTCACCTGGATGGCTGCATCCCAAGGACAGCTCCTCGGGATACCTATTGCACATGTTCCAGTTAACAAGGAGCCAGAGAGTGGTGTTCCTTTCCTTCCTGGGGAAACACCATGCTTCTTCTTCTAGGCCTCTGTTCTCCTAGCTTCAAGAGAGTCCCAAAGAATTTGGGATGCACCTAAGTGTATGTGTTTCTGGGACTCTGGACTGTCCACACATCTTCCTCTGGAGTTTCTGAAGTCTGCAGGGATGAGGGAGATCAGGAGCCAGCCAGCTTCTGTTCTGGAGTGTGTTACTATCCTTTGACTGCTGTGACAGATTTCCTGACAACTTAGAGCAACATGTATTTATCCCCTTAGGGATCTGTTGATTTGAAGACTGAAAGCAGATTCACTGTGAGTGAAATAAAGCCATCAGCAGAACTACAGAGGGACTGCAGCACTCAGAGGCTCTAGGGAGGGTCCTTGTCCCTACCCTTCCCAGCTTCTAGAGCTACATTCCTTGCATTTGTTGGCTTGGGGATCAACAGCGTTCCTCTGTCTTCAGTGTTAGCAGTAGTGCAGCATCTTCATCTTTCCCACAGCCCTGTGTCTCAGGAACTCTTTCCCCAGAGAGCTCCATCCCCCTCCCCCGCCTTGTTTCAGGGCACCAATAACGGTTTACTGACTTAGGGAGCCAATATCCTTCAGTGTGCGGGTGGGGAGTTATTTACAGGAGTGTGGTGGACCCCGAAGCAGGTCTCATGCCTGCTTGATGGAGATCACCCCTTCATTTGACCTTCCACAGTGTGTTTACTGTAGCACCTCCCAGGGCTAAGAAGTCACATGCGATTAGGACGGAATTATACATAGCTGCTGGGGAGGTGTAGGAGAGAATGTCTCCAGAATCTCAGATGAAGGTCCAGTGACCCTCTCTACCCCCACTCCCTTTTTGAGGGAGCATCAACATTCAACAGACCCAGTCCTAAAGCCCTCTTGAAAACAGTCTCAGCTGCTCTGGCAGATGGACAGTTATACTTGGGGGTGGCAATTCATAACACCTCTCCTCAGCTGTCTTCTGCCTCCTTCCAACCCTTGTGAATATTTCTAGACCTATCCAGACAACCTAAGAACATCTGCGCAGGATCCTTCACTGGAGCACATGTACCAATCCTCTTTTGACTTGAGAGCTAACATGCATGCGCTATTTCTAGGCACTAGGACGTGGGTATTTTTGTAGGGCCATTGTTCAGCCTACCGGAGAGGACATCAGTGTCTGTAACTTATTTCCTGCCTGGACAATCTTCAGCTCAGCCAGAGCAAACATGCTTACAGACAGCGGAGAGAGACAGAACATTTTGCTTTTGGGTGGCTGGGAAAAGTAAGTTCTGTGGGTCCATTCATTGTTGAGGCCAGGGTTAAGAAGGTGAGCACGTGTGAGCACCGTCCCTGCCCGCGCTGCGCATGCAGACTCCTTTTTTTAACGCCTGCCCTGAGGTTGTCCAAGGACTCATGGGCCTGTGTCCTGTAGGAGGAGACTCCAAGCATTCCTATCAAAGCTGCACCGAGCTCTGAGGCCGGATGCTCTAAGTGGCCCATATCCGTAGGATAGACTGGCCTGAAGAACAAAGCTATCCATGTCCCTGTCAGTGGACGGCAACAGATCACAATTACGCTTCTTTTGAAAATCACAGAAGGTCAGGGATATAGCTCAGTTGTTTGATTGCTGGCTTAGCATGCATGAGGCCCCAGTAACACATGAACTGGGTATGATGCTATACCTCTAATCCCAGCACATGGGGGTAGAAGCAGGAGGGCTAGAAGCTCAAGGTCATCCTTGCCTCTGCGAGACCCAGTCTCAAAAAAAATGAAGAAAAATATAAAATTCTGTGGAGCTGGAGAGATGGCTTGGTGGTTAAGAGTGCCTACTGGCTTTTCAGGGGACCCAGGTGGTCTCTGAGACCCATGTCAGGCAGCTAACAACTGCCTGTGGCTCCAGTTCTGGAAGAACCAATACCCTATCATAGCTTCCGGACACCTGCATGCACCACCACACATGCTTACATAATTTAAAATAAAATTAAGATCTTTAAAAATAGAGCAAATATTAAATTATAGCAAAATACACATAATGGGGCTGGAGGGGGTGACTTAGTGCTAAATAGTGCTTGGTACACAAGCATGAGGACCTGAGTTCAAGTTCCTAGAGTCCCTGGAGACCATGTAAAAAACTGGGCACAGTCATACATGCCTGTAACCAAGCCCTGGGTGATGAGTAGCAGAAGCAGGACGATAACTGGGATTCTCTGGTCATCAGGCTAGCTGCAAATTCAGTGAGAGACCCTGTCTCAAGAGAATAAGGTAGTGAATGATAGAGCAGGACATCAATGTCTTCCTGTGATCTCCAAATG